CCTCTGAGGCTTCAGTTTACTCAAGTTTTTCCTGGCCCTTGGGGATTTCCTACACTTTATCTGTGACCTCAGCGATGCAGTTACAAGAACACTCATTAAAATTTATACTTTCAACAATAAAGATTTAAAAAATATTTAAAAAAATTATCCGGCATCTGGGTGTTTATGGCAATGGCAGATTTCTCAGTCTGCCATTCCTATAGGAAATTTAACACAGCATTTTACTATATTATCACTAGAGTCCCTGGGATCCTTTTTTCCAGAGCTAAGGCAGGACTGTGGATTCCTGACTTGGCTACCAAATGTTTTTTGTGGTAAGCTGACAGTCACAAGGCTGAGATCCTGTAATTGATCTGGGTTGTGGGTTGCAGTGCTGGGCAGCTGTGGAGACTGGCAGTTGGTCCCCTGTGCATGGAAGATCACACAGCTAAGCCCCCACCTTGCCTTCTGGGGCCAAGGCCACAGCCAGACCCTTCTCCTTATTCTGAGATCTAGTAACCAACCCCTCAATGCATTTTTGAGGCCTGTGAAGTTGGTGGTGCCAACAAGGGTCTTGGGCAAGACTGCTTGGAAGTAGGTTTAGGGCAGAGGCCAAAGGTGGGTATTCAGGCAACAGAGTGAGGCTGCGGCCAGAGCCTTAGGAAGTGAGCCCTCAGGTCACCGACTAAGAAACTGGACTAACAGCCAAAGACTCCATACACACAGGTGGCAGCTGCACAAAGCTGACCAGACCATCTCAGAGCCCTGGAAAATATGACCTGCCTGTTGGAGGCACAGCAAACTGGTGGGCTTTCAGGGAAAGCAGTTTGAACATATGCTTCGAGAGTCAGAAGTGTTCAGTTCTAGAAATCCCAGAAAATTATTCCAGAGAAATAACCAAGCAAAGGAAGACATTCATTCAGTATGCTGACAGGGAAAATGGGGAAGCAACCCAATTGCTCAACAGGAGGTGAAGAATTAAGAAAATGATGGCCTTGATTAAAGCATTCAACCCATTCAGCAAGTAAACGGGAAGGCAATGAACTTAGGATTTAACATTAATATAGAAAGGACATGAAACATTTCAAACTTTCTGTGGTGGTTTCCTTATTAAATCACTGAAGGGTGAAGAAACTAACAAGGAATTGGGAGTCTGTAAGCTGTTACTGGCACTATCCACAGGCCCACTGGGTGGGCAGGCAAAGTCATGGGCACGAGCAGCCAGCCCAGTGGGGGCCTGGGCCCCTCAGCTGTCTTCCCGTAGGCCTAGCGGCTGGAACCGTCTCTTTAGCAGATCCTGCTTTCATTCCTCTGGGTGGCTCTTTAGGCCGTAGCAAGGAACACTGGAGGTCTGCCCACTTCCACCCCCACCCTCTGCCAAAGAGGGGAAGGAAGGGGAGAGGACGCAGAAGCCTGCCTGCCAGATGTCTCAAAGTGCACCTACCACCTTCCCTCCCAGTGGCATTCCAGTTTGAGTCAAAAAAGGAATATAGCCTTTTTATTGACTACTTTAAGTAGAACAAACTAAATACATATTTAACAGTTTTGGTTTGTTTATACAGTACATTAAATAAGTTATGCACAGAGTTAAGTAACAAAAGTTCCTATCAGAGAAATGACAAAGCACAGAAAAATCAGACCCTATCGCATCCTGTGGGTGGTTTCACATTCATCGTCTCTCTTAAAAAACCACGCTTGGAGGTTTATTTACATTATTGGCTTTCTTTCATAAATGGAGCTTTTGTAGCCTCATCAGGAACTTGGAAAGCTATGAAAGTGGACCGAAGGCCTCTTAGCCAAACAGCTCTTTCAGCCATTCACCTAATGTGTATTGCTGCTGCTTTGCCAACTCCACCGCAGGGACAGGGCTGTCCCTGCCGGCCACTAGCCACACATGCCCTATTTGGTATAAGCATCAATGAGTGTACGCTGGGCAGTAGTGGATCGGACCAGATGGGGTCTGCAGGGGAAGCACCATCTCTGTGGCTGCGGAAGGAAGGGAGGATGCAAGGCCCGTTGCCCTCAGGCCTCCTGACCTTCTGGCCCTCGGTGGAAAAGGTCACCTGCACCATCATCTTTGGAAATGAGCATGTCAAAGCATGTGGGCAAAGAGGCAGGGAGTCAACATTTTGGTTTCACAAGAACTAGGCACCCAGAGTTGGAAGGGCCCTATTGGGCAGCTGGCCCAGTACCCACCCCACCTCGGACAGGACTCCTCCTGACAGTGGCTGTCTGGCCCATGTGGAAACAGCCCAGGTTCCTCTGGCTTTTCTTACATTTGGTTCAAACACACCACCACCCAGTTTTCTGCAAAGAGCTAAAAAACAAATTTAAGAAAGTTGGCTTGGTCAACTGACCTGGGAGTCTAGAAACCAGTTCTGAAGAAAGCCTCCAAGATATATTCTATTTTAAATGATTTATTCAACCTACAATCCCTTCCACAATTTCCAGGACAATCAGCCAGCTGGTCATCACCTATGCTTTCATTCTGAAGAATTCACCACCATACAATTCCAATTTGAGTTGATGAACCTTCAGATCCACTTGCTGGGATCTTTTCTGGAGCTACCAAGAACAAGGTCTACACTCCTTGCAAGCAGGTGAAAGCAGTGGGTATCAATTTGACTTTGGAACAGGCTGCACAAAGTCAAGTGTAGATTCTCTGTCTAGAAGCTGAAGATGCTCACATTGACACCAAGAAGTGAGGGGCTCCCGGTAGACCAGCTGGCCTGGATGGGCACTGCAGCCAGTGTCGGACATCCCCATGCTGGGTAGATGTGTCCTGTTTCCAGACTTAGATCCACTGAGACACACACACCACTCAGCACAGTCCAGGAAAAGATCCACTCACTCTGTGACCTTATGGCCCAGGGCCCCTGGGGCTGAAGAGCCCCCCAAAGTGGAGCACTCACACCTCAGAAGTGGGTGGCTACTCCTGCACAGGAGAAATGAACAGACTCAGTTTTCACCACGAGGCAGAGCCAGGCATGCTGCAGGCAGTGGGGACCAGAAGGCGACTGAAGATCTGAGGGGCCAGCCCTCAAGTATCCCTTGGAACATCTAACGCACCCACACCGGTCACTCTTGGTCTCTTCTCTGGTTCCTGCGACCATTCTTCACTGGATAAGACAATGATGTCCATCACTTGTCAGCATCCCTCAACACTGGCCTCATCCTCCAGATGTGCTCTGACCGTTGGGCAGGCTTGTATTAGTTTTTTTTTTTAATTTATTAAATTTATTGGGTGACACTGGTCAACCTTTGTCACATTTGCTTTTGATTTCTAGGGTAACATTGAAGAGCCTGTGACTGCCTTAATAACACTTTCAGTACCATCATCCCGAAACCTTCTACCTTTTGTCCCCCCAAATATTAGCTATAAAAGTTGGTCCTCTAAGAAACCTGATTATATATAAAAATATTTAAAATCCAACTAGATGAAGGTGGGAAGCCTGAACTTGAACCCCCCACCTGGTAGCTGGGTGATATTAGCAGAAACTGGAAATCAAGTGGGGAACTCAGACTCAACCCTGCCTCTCCAGTGCCATCACCCCATCCCAAAACACTGCCAGTGCCATCACCTCCTCCCAATTAGAGAGCTGGGGAATTTCAGACAGGAAATTAGAGAAAGGGATTCTTTCCATCTAAATAGTAAGTCTTGAACAGATGCCTGCAACCAATGTGTGAAACTGACCAAATACTGCGGAGGTTTTCAGCTTGGACTTTGGGTAGGACATGAACAAAGCAGTATTGAATAGCATCACAAAAACTCTGAAAACTAAGCTGTCATTGGAACCACAGCCCACAAAGAGCCAGCGAGAACCTGCACAACTAAACCTATGCCTTAGCTTAAGAAAATGACATCGAGCTATGATAATATTTTGTTGGTTTTGGTCTTTATTCCAACCAGGAAAAATCTGATCTACCCTGTCTAGTCAGATTAAAGAATCCCGTCCTAGCTGGTTTGGCTCAGTACATCGAGCGTCAGCCTATGGACTGAAGGGTCCCAGGTTTGATTCCTGTCAGGGGCACATTCCTGGGTTTCAAGCTCGATCCCCAGTGGGGGCGTGCAGGAGGCAGCCGATTGATGATTCTCTCTCATCACTGATGTTTCTTTCTCTCCCTCTCCCTTCCTCTCTGAAATCAATTTTAAAAAAATAAAAAAAATTATATATATATATATATTAAAGAACCTGCCTAGGTGTTCATCTGATTTGCCAATGGAAAGACAGTGAGTGAGCTGAGGGCAGACCCAGTGAACACCTCGAGACACCCTCTTGCTGTAAACTGATTTAGAGGCCCCATGACCTCCTTGGGGGACATTCCGTATCTTATGAAAATACAGGCAAGTCCCATCAGGGGTGCTGACTTCATCCCGGTTAAAGTCAGAACACCCCACAAGTACTGCAGTTTAGAGTTCTAAATCAACGTAACATTACTGTTATTCCTTCTCTGTGTATACTTTACTTTGTGCAATAGAAATACAGGTATTTTAAAGGTGCCTTGTATTACGTTTCTTTATAAGACAGAACATCCTTCAGTAAGGTCAATTAGGGACTAGAAATTCTTAAAGCAAGGACAATGCTACCTATGCTGATTACTTTTCCTTTATAGGATGAGAGCTTCTATTTCACTCTTGTCAGTGCACAAAAGGTGGCTATCTAAAGCAGGGCTCTCAAGTGCCAGCAGGAGTAGAGCTGACCAACTCATCCCAACTGATTCCGCGGGGAGAGAAGGTGCTGGAGGCGAGGTGGAGAGTAGAAAAGTCAGGGAAAATGTGTGTGGCAGTTCTGAACACTTTAAAACAGGGTTAGGTGATGTCATATTGGGAGCGCCAAGTCAATAGCTGGAAACCTCCCTGAAGACAGGAAGGAAAACTGGTCAGGTTCTCTCAAAATGGTTCTCACGTTTCACAAAATTTCTTATCTCAAAATGGGTATCTATCAAACACACGAGAAGGGAAGCTGAGATTGTGTGCCCAATAGTAAGCTGATGCAGTTATGTATAATGACATGAAACCATGAGGTCTGAAGAATTCTTTATGGTCCATGAGGGCTGCTCAGAAGTAACCAGGCCCTGATTAGTGAGGCGAGTCCTAGTCACACCATATCACATTTTACAGGGCAACTGCGGCTTCAGAGGTGCCAGATAGAGACCGATCCACACTGTGATCTGGACACACGCGGTCTGAGACAAGACACAGAACAAGATGACTGTGCAAACAGCCAAGCGGTGACGAGGTTCTGAGTTTCCAACAGATGATGCATTCAATAACTTGATGATAGTAGTTGGCCAAAATGCTCAAAACAGACTAATCTACACCTGAGTCTCGTTCTTCCTCAGACCAATCCAAGTGCTGGAAACTTTTCTGCACAAGCAAAATCAAATCAGAGAGGGAGAAAACTGGGTCCTAAACTGAAGAAGCCAGGCAGGTTAGAAAACCTTGTCCAAGATGATCTGTGATGCTTGTGAAAGTTTTATTTATTTTTTATTGTTATGGGTGCTTTTCCTAAAATGGTGACTTTCCTGTGGTTTCTGAGAATTTTAACAAGTCTGAACAGCAGGGTCAAGGGAGTCCTGAGTGCTGCTTTTTGCTTCCCCGAAGTCCCCCTGGGGCCAATCAGTGGCATCTGCTGAGGGTGGAAATAGGCTCATGAAGCTGCTGGGGATGAGGGGGGCCACTCCCGGTCAGAAGGACTCTCTCCAGCCTGCTCACAGCCTCCAGGCCTCTGCTGCGGGAGGACAGTGGAGCAGGAGACAGTGCATGGGGCCAGCTGCCTCCAGCCTGGCCGGGCACATAGTCTGCTGCCTCAAGAGGCAGGGAGGGGAGCTGGTGGTCTACACTGAAAAGGCGCCCGCCACGCCAGCTCCAGCTGGGAGAGGAACAAACCAGAAAGCCATGGAAGAGGCAGCTCCAGCCACCTGCCTGTGTGCAGAAAGGACGGCACACTATTTCCCCCAAGGACACAAATGGGAAACGGGGGCAGGTGTCTGGAGAGGCTGTGAAGCAATGTTGGCTGGGCTTGGACTCTTTCTGCCTCCACTTCACTTCTTGCTGATGACCCAGCAGCTACTTGTACTGGTCCAGCCCTGTGCTGTGAGGTCATCAGGGGGAAGGAGCCTGGGCTCAGAGTCCGTTGCTGTCGATGGCTGTCACAGAGGCAGGTGTTGAGGAGCGCGAGGTGGTTGCTGAGGTCTTGTCCAGTGCTGGGCTTGGCACGCTGCAATCGGCAGACCTGGCTGACCTCCCTCCAGGAAGCAGTGGCCGGCTCTGGCTGTGGGGACTCTGGCCATGCAGGTTCTGGCCACAGAGGCGGTGGTGCCGCTCCCAGTCCTTATGTTGGCAGAAAGAGCCGCAGTATCGTGCGATATTGCAGCCGCTGCAGGTCTCGCTGGCTTTGCGGCCACAGTTCCAGCAGTTCTGCAAGGCACAGGCATCGGTTAGTTGCTTGGATATTGTGGGGCAGGCCTGTCATCACTCATCACCTGCCCTGTAGAAGAGGGGGCTTGGACCTACACATACCTGTCCTTGTCCTGATTCTACTGTCTCTGCTTTCTGAGTTTCCTGAGTAACAGGAAGAGTACCTACCCCGACTCAGGGGACAGCGAGATGAGGGGGATGTGAAAACACAAACAGCATCATTGCAGGGCAGGCGGAAGCCCCACATCTTGTTGAAGGCACTGACTCACAATTTATCCCTCAGCAACCAAACCTAACTCTGTCCCCACGTCCCCCACCACAGCTCTCTCTTCTGAGACCACACGTGGTTTCCTCTCTCGGTCTTCCCAACAGAGGAATAACCGTATTTTCACTGACAACACCTGATCTTAGATGGTTATATTACTTCCTCTGTATCCATTCTCCTTTCAGAGATGCGCCTTGTCATAGGTGAGCTGGGGGTTGTGAGGAAACTTCTGGTTTATTTATGGGAGCCCCTGCAGTATCTCAGAGCTCAGGGCCCCTGAGGTCTAGGTCAGGAAGTTTTCTTACTACTTTGTACTATCCTAGAGGGGGGATGGGTACTGCTAGGGTCTAGCAGAGACCACAGGAGAGGGAGGACTGTACATTTGAGAATGCACTCATTCTACGATGGAGGATATGAGCCAAGTGAGGCGTGGTGAGAGCTACAAGGAGCGCCATGAGAGGCAGTTGAAACCTGCTCCTTGGTACTCTTCTCTTTCCTCTGGATTCCAGTGGTGACTCCAGTAGTGACACAAGTGTTTTTTCCGCACCCAAAGTCTCCAGGTCCACTTACAAGAGAAAAGCCTTATGGCACTGGCCAGAGGAAGCTACCAGGGAGGGGCAATGACTTTTAGGTATCAGGAAGGACTTGAGCAGCCCCTTTCTGCAAGTTCTCCAGAATAGCAGAGCCAATCACAAGGCCCAATCACAAGGTCACAAGGTCTGACCACTCCTAGGAAAGAAAGACACCATCCCCCATGAAATCAGGACACTTGCTCAAGTGACAATGGGGCAGTAAGCGTTGAAAAGGGCCACTTGGCCCACCTCTTGGCTTGTACAGATAGGACACTGAGGACCAGTGGGCAGGGACTTGCCTAAGGTTATAAAATGTTTACTTGGCCCTGGCAGGTGTGGCTCAGTTGGTTGGAGCATTGTTCCATACACTAAAATGTTGTGCGTTCCATTCCCAGTCAGGGCATGTGTGGGTCTTCCTTCCTCTCTTGCTAAAATCAATAAAAACAGCCTGGTCAGAGTGCTCAGTGGGTTAGAGTGTCATCCTGTGCACTAAAAGGTTGCCAGTTGGATTCTTGGTCAGGGCACGTAACTGGATTGTGAGTTTGGTCCCTGATTGGGATGCGTATGGAAGACAATCGAACAATGTTTTTCTCTCTCAGCATGTCCTCAGGTGAGGAATAAGCAAACAAACAAATAAATAAAAATCAATAAAAACATATCCTCAGGTGAGTGAAAAAAAAAAAATTACTTGCAAAGTCTAGAATCCGAACCTCCTGACTGCCCTATACTCAATGTAGAAGTTTAGTTTCAAAGAACATTAGAAAGGGCAGTATACTCCTGTCTAACACAACAGGCTTCTCAGGAAATACACTCTAAGGACTGCCTAAACTTGCCACCACAAATACCAGAGGACCAAAATAGGAAGCTGAAGTAATTCTTAGGGCTCAAGCAAACTGCATTCCAGAGAAAGTCAGACTTTGGAGCCTGATGGGCTGACTCCAAACAATGCATTGGCAGAACATTACCACTGGTGGGGAGGACCTCGGTGGTTGTCTATGTGGGGCTGCTGTTCAAACAGGCCAACGGGGCAGCCCTAGCTGATGGGAGACTTCTACTCCTCTGCCCAAGTCTGCAAGAATGTCTCAAACTGGGGCAGAGTACTGACGCACTGGAACGTAAGCCTTGGCTGCCATTCTATTTAAAATAGCTTATTTCATAATTTATGAAATATAATAAAACAAGGTAAGGAAAACAGCTTCCCACTGAGGCCGGATCAGTCTATACATGCAGGAACATTGTGGTAAGTGTCAGCGCAGCTAGGGTGAACAGGTCACTGTTGTGTACCCTTTCCCTGTGACATTTCCTGACTTAATCACGAGGCTTTGGCTACGATGTAAGACAAAACTGGTTTATTATTGTAGTCTCCCTTCAAATACTCATTCCTCAAAACTGGAGCAGCTCACTGGTCAGACAGTTAATGGGAGAAGGCTATAAACCTTTGGAAGTACTGGCCAGGGAAGTCAGAAGTGGGATGCCAGAATTTCCTTTGTCAAGTATGGGCCATCAGTTTATGCCAAGTGTGACCCAGAGGCCACCTGTATCAGAGCTCCGTGAGGCTTGTCAAAAATTCCTGGGACCCATCCCAGACCTCCCTGACATGACCACAAACCTGGCCCAAAAGAGAAATAATTCCTCATCTTATCATCATCTGCTAGGCCACTCTGTTTGCCAGGGAAGCCAGGCTGAGGTCAGAAGGTGCCATGTGGTGGAGATGAGAGGACCTCTCACTTCATCCCCCTCCTGAGGCATTCCAGGGAGATGCCTGGATCTGCCCTTAGAGTCAGCTATTCTGCAAAGGCAGGTGCTGCCACAGCTTACACACGTATATTGTTAGCCACATAAGAAAATCCTTTCATCTGTACAGTGCATTTAGTGCAGTGCAGTTTGGAAGTGCTAACACAACCATGACCAAATGGTATCTTCCTAGAAACTAAGAGACCAACAGGACAGGGTCTGCTACACACCCATTATACAGGGAAGGAAAGTGACCCCTTAAGGGCACACTGCTAGTGTGAGGGGCAACTGGGATGGGTTCCTAACCTCCAGTCCTGGGCTCCCTCCGCTATACCAAGCTCCCTGTCATGGGAAGAACAACAAACTCTAGGGATATACTGTTAGACTTTAAATATGTACTATGTTTAAAATTACAGCTCCTTAAAAGCACTCTCCTATAAATGGAGAGCTGGGATTGAAACCATGCAGTCCAGATCCAGAACTCATGCTGTAAGCCAAAATGTTACATTCCTTCTTTGGAGAAAGACAGAAAAAATATAAACACAGATATGAAAGTAGATAAATATGAACAAATATAGATATTGATATGAATAGCTATAGATATAGAATTAAATACACACAACAGAAAAAGATATCACTGCTCAGAAACAATTATAAAGAAAAAAGAAGGGGACAAAAAAAAAGGGGAGAGTTAAAGGAACTATTTCCTTTTTCCTCCCTTGAGTCTAAACTTTAAATATGACTCTGGCCCGGCTGGTGTGGCTCAGTGGTTGAATACTGACCTATGAATCAGGAGATCACGGTTCAATTCCCGGTTAGGGCACATGCCTGGGTTGCGGGCTTGATCCCCAGTGTGGGGTGTGCAAGAGGCAGCTGAGCAATGATTCTCTCTCATCACTGATGTTTCTCTCTCTCTCTCCCTTCCTCTCTGAAATCAATTAAAAAAATGACTTTTGATCACATAATGCAGCATACATTTCTGACAGCAAGTAAAAATTTGGAGAAATTACATTCTCACCAATATAACCATTCACTCCTCTGAAACCTGGTATCACTGCACAGTCTACAGGGTAAATCAAATAAACTATTTTCTCACAACTCAGTATCTTTTATAGAATGCTACAGTATGGAATTTTCCACATCCTCTGTGATGGTCACATGACATTTAGACATTTTTGTCTTTATATTGCCATGCTTGGCACTGCTATATTGAAAGATTAAGAAAATAAAAAGATTGAGAAAATAAACTTCCTGTTGTTTAAGAAAACAAACAAACCAGCCCTAGCCAGTTTGGCTCAGTGGATGGCTCAGTGGATAGATAGAACGTGGACCCACAGACTGAAGGGTCCTGGGTTCGATTCCGGTCAAGGGCATGCACCTCGGATGCAGATTCCCTGGCCATGGTTGGGGTGCGTGCAGGAGACAACCAATGGATGTGACACATCAATGTTTCTCTCTGTCTCTCCCTTTCTCTTCTTCTCTCTAAAAACCAATGGAAAAATATCCTTGGGTGAGGATTAACAATTTTTTTTAAATAAAGAAAACTAATCAACTGAAATACCCAGGAATTTTTTTTTATAACTTCAAGAGAATGTCCCAAAGATAGCTAATTTCTCAATTTGTAGAAATTTGTAGAAGTTTATTCTTATCCTCTGTGGTACAAGAATGTCTTATTTCTCTTAGAAGCATCACCAAGTCCTGGGTCATGTGTCTTGGAGAGTTGGGCAGGTCTGCCCCATCTGTCACTTCAACCCATAAAAGAAATACCCTATTTACAAGCAGCCCAGATGCTACAGGGGCCTCCATTTCCTCACTCCTGTACCCTGGCTTCAGCAGTGGGCAAAGTCCCTAATCCACAGTTTCCTCACTTGTGAAATCAGAATCCAGTAACACCCACCTCGTAGAATCATTGTGAGGATCAAAAAGACAATACACACACTTAGCTTTGTGGCTACACACAGTACCTAAGCTCGCTCAGTGAAGGGGAATGTCATCATTACCATGCAATCCACAAACTCTGGTTTTAGGGTGAGTTTTCAAAATTAAAACCAATATAGTAAGAATATAATACATGGTGGGGCAAAAGTAGGTTTATAGCTGTGAGTATGCAAAGCACAGAGTTTATTCTTTAAAAAAAACCACCACTTTTTATTCATTTTCAGAGACAGGAAGGAAGAGGAAGAATCATCAATGTGAGGGCAGAACATCAATTGGCTGCCTCTGCACATCCCCTATTGGGGATTGAACCTGCAACCTAGGGATGTGTGCCCTGACCAGGAATCCAACAGGCAACCTTTCGGTGCATAGGACAAAGCCCAGCCAACTGAGCCACACGAGCCAGGGCGAAATAGTTTATTGTATTATGATTTATTAAATATTGTATTATTTTCCATATGAACAACGGTAAATCTACTTTTGCCCCACTTTTTAGGGTACTTCCTAAAATATAAATAACTACCTGTATAATTGAGAAATAAAACCCTTCTGGTAACTGGATAATTATAATCATCTAGTTCAAGAGCAGACGGTTCTATCTTGCTACCTAGCACTTGAGAATATAGCAATGGGCTGGTTCACTCCAGCTGCCCGAGCCCTAGCCCCAGCCCCAGCCCCCAGGACTAATAGAACTCTGACCTCCGTTGATTCTTCTTGTTCATTTATGACAAGGAAGGCATCCTCTGCAGCCTGCCGTTTGACGTCCGCTATGGTTTGCTCCATCCGAGCTCTCTCTGTTGCAATCACTTCAAAGGCTTTTTGCTCTGCCTCAGCAACGGCTTTCTGTACTTCTGACATGGCCTGAATTTTCACCTTATTCACAGCTTCTTCTAGAAGAAAGTGACAGTAAAATCAACTGGCCGATAAATCTTTTCCCTCCCACCCCACATCATTTCTAAAAAGGGACAGAACTGAAACTAGATGACTTTTTTAAAAAAACACACAGGGATGAATATATGATGTATGTGTTCACTTTTATTCTTACACTCACTTGTCCATTCATGCAACCATTTGTTGAGTATACAGATGGAGGTGGGCACTGTACTAGGGACTGGGGACAGCTAGGTGACTAAGACATAGTCTATATTCTCATAACTGTTTGTGATAAGTACAAGGTGGCTTCGGTATCAGTATGAGAGACAAGAGATCCAAGGGGAAAGTGGTCAGTTTTACGAGTATGTGTCCTGGTTGAGATGGGAGGTGGAAATGAATTTTTAGAAAGTCTTGCATCTCATGCTAAGGAATTAAGCCCTTTTTCTAAAGAAAATGTGAACTCTAAAGATCAGCAGCATCTAGGGGTCTGGAGGAGAAGGTAAAGGGGAAGAACAGTAGTGGTATGCAACGAAACAAATAAGCAAAAGGCTGGGGTGGAGGCAAGAGAAGGTTGCGATGCCTCTGGGGCATCCAGGTATAAATGAACAGGAGGCAGCTGGTATATAATATTGATTCAGGAAGAGAAAAATGGGCAGGTTGCCAGGAACCCTGGACTTCCAAAGCCGTGTCCAGTTACCATTACCCCACTTGGCTCCTGATCACTTTCTCCCATCATCATCACCACCCTGCATGGTTTCCATAAGATGGACACTCCAAATCAGCGGTCGCCAACTGGTGGTCTGCGAGGTCTGAAAGGTTGGTGACCGCTGGTTTAAGGAAACCTTTGGAGCAGCCGTCGCCAACCGGTGGTGCGCGGACCACCGGTGGTCTGTGAGGTCTGAAAGGTTGGCGACCGCTGCTCCAAATAACACAGTATGCACTTGAGCCTCAGCCCTAAGTCCCAATGTAAATGACCTTCCTCCTGAAATCACAAGACGACAGAAGCCTAAGGAAACTCCCTTGTTGCTTGGCTCTTGCATGTGGCCTATGCTTAAAAGCGGTTTAAACAGAGTGTTCTAGGCTACCATCATAGAACTTTGCATTTTATTGCTCCAGCCTTAAGAAAGGAAAGTTGTCATCTCAAAGGCCAAGCAAGAATGATGCTGAGTTGACTTGGCACTGAACTCCATGCTTCCTTTACTTTTTTTTAAAAAAAGTATTTTTATTGATTTCAGAGAGGAAGGGAGAGGGAGAGATAGAAACAGCAATGATGAGAGAGAATCATTGATCAGCTGCCTCCTGCATGACCCCTACTGGGGATTGAGCCCACAACCCGAGCATGTGCACTTGTCTAGAATCGAACCCAGGACCCTTCAGTTCGCAGGCCAATGTCCTATCCACTGAGCCAAACCAGCTAGGGCTCCTTTACTCTTGATATCCACACGGTTCATTGTGGCTCACCACAGCTACCTTTCATATCCTATTAGTTACCAGGTAGGTGTTAAGTCTCTCTTATTGAGCCAACATAATAATGCCCTGAAGAACATTTATCCTCTAAGTTTAAAGATCAATAAGAATCACAGTTTGAATAACTAACTTGCTCAAGGTAATAATTCAAGGTAACAGGTGGCACTAGACCAGAACAAGGACTCAAATTTAGCTGGCTCAATGCCATAGTCTGATTCTTAACCATAATTAACCAAAGGTACCTCCCAAGTAGAAAATCACCAGTCACCATGGAGATCTTGTGCATGGTAATTTTTCGGATTGCCAGTGAAAATAAACATTTTGCAATAGGTTTACAGTGGGGCCTTGACTTACGAGTGTCCCAACTAATGAGTTTTTCGTCTCTCGGCCGATTTTTTGCTTTGAATTGCGAGCTAAAATTCGGGTTACGAGCCAGCTTCAGATACCCCACCACTAGTTGGCGCAGCGAACGTCACAGTGAACGCCACATCAGCCCAGCATTCAATTCATTGCTATGGTGAAAACTGATTTGACATATGAGTAATTTGAATTACGAGCTCCGTCACGGAACGAATTAAACTCGTAAGTCAAGGCCCCACTGTATTTACATCTCTCATAATTTGTCGGTTCATATATTTTGTCCACTTGTTTATTATGTTCTTGATGCTCTTGAGAGTCTTTCTGAATGACAGGTATTAACTTTTTGTAGAAATAAATTTTATTTTAGGAAGAAAATAAAAAACAATATTGGACTAAAAATAAATGTTACTAGGAATGGGAGGCAAGAAGAAAAGGCAGCTAGAATTTGGATGAGGTAAATATTAAGAATGAAAGGTTAATTTAAACCCCTCTCTTACCACAATAGGCAGTCCCACCTTTATTCTTCCTTTCACAGTAATGGTGAAAGGAAAAACAGACAGTTTTTTCAAGAGCAGAATGAAAGGTGGTAGTGTGTGAACACAGTGTGTGTAGATTCTAGTGAACAGAATAGGCAGAAACAAACTAAGCTTCATGGCCAGAAACAGAGACTATAATAAACAGGGAAGAAAGAGTTGGTTACTTAATGTCTGAGTGTGACCCAGAAGCATGTGAAAGGGACATGCATAGGCTGCTGGGAGGCACTCCAAATTCTTGACCTGCAAAGTAACATGAGGGGCATCCAGATATGTGGGAAAGCTGGAGGAGAAGAGGCAGGAGCCTAGAGTTCTATGAGGAGGTTATTATGAGACACCCGCCCCCCCCCCCAAATATGTGCTGCACACTGGCACAAATCAGTGAGTACATGCAACCTCTAAGCAGACAGGCACATACCGGTTTTTTTCCAAAATTCCACAGGTACATATCCTGTTGCTGGCCTACTGTTGAATTCCCGCTGAGGATCTACAGGAGAGAGATAAGTAGCATGGGGTCAGAAATTATCTATGATTGGCATGTTTTCTTTTTATGAAAAACTTATCAGATCTTTCATTTACCACTTAAGACTCAAAAATATATGTTCATGTAGTGCAAAAATATTCTGATAAGAGATAAAATCTGATTATAAAACAGCACACTTAATTTTTACTTTTAAATCCTCACTCGAGTATATTTTTTCCATTGATTTTTAGAGAGAGTGGAAGGGAGAAGGACAGACAGAAACACCAATGTGAGAGAGACACATTGATTGTTTGCCTCCAGCACACCCCGACCAGGTCTGGGGATCGAGCCTGCAACCGAGGTATGTGCCCCTGACCAGAATCAAACCTGGGACCCTTCAGTCCGAAGGCTAACGCTCTATCCACTGAGCAAAACTAGGTAGGGCTTAATTTTTACTTTAAAACACACACCTGCATGCCTTAGATATTAACAGTATTCCAAGTAGTGAGATTAAAAGTGATCTCCATTCAATGGATACAAGACACTGTGGGGTATGGGAGGCCAGGGGAAGGTCAAGGGGAGAAAAAAAGGAGACATATATAATATTCTTTGTGATACTTTAAGCAATAAAACAAAATTTAAAAAAAAGTGCTCTCCACTTTCTTTTTACTTATCAATGTGTCCTTATTTTCCCCTCTGAACATATATGTATTTCTAAGGTACTTCATAAAATATAAATAACTACAGATATTTATGTATTACATGTGTGTGTTTTCGTATCAAATTGAACTGAACTGTCTCCATCATGCACAGGGCACTGGCAAGTGCTCTGTAGGTATGTCAGAGAATATAGCTTTTCTTTCTTGGCAAGTCTGAATCCTTACATGTGATTTAAGGAGGTTTCCTGTAAATTTCTTTAAACACTCATAAACAAACAAAAAAACCCCCAAGCAGTGAAGAAAATAGTCTGAACAGTGCATGTCAAATGTATCATAAAGAGGCATCCCGGGGGTTGCTGGGAAAGACACAGGGGTGGAGGGTGACTTATCATGTATGTTTACTGTGTTTGCAAAATATAATATTTTATGAGAAATGGTTCTATTGCTTTCAAAACTGTGAAAACTAATTAAGGTCATTTCATTGTTGTTTTTTAATGTTAGTGCTAGTGGACTCCCTCATTTTTTAAAAAATTGATTTGAGCCCTAACTGGTTTGGCTCAATGGATAGAGCATTGGCCTCCGGACTGAAGGGTCCCAGGTTCGATTCCGGCCAAGGGCATGTACCTTGGTTGCAGGCACATCCCCAGCAGGAGGTGTGCAGGAGGCAGCTGGTCGATGTTTCTCTCTCATCGATGTTCCTAACTCTCTATCCCTCTCCCTTCCTCTCTGTAAAACATCAATAAAATATAAATATATTAAAAAAAAATAAAACAGAACAAGATCACAAATATTCTCATTTTCCATGAGGAAGAATATTTCTTGAACATGTTAAATACCGAGTCCTTGAGCTATTTTATTATTTACTCTTCATAGTCATCTGGGCCTTTTTAACTCCACATTTTAGCACCACCTTTGTTTAAAGTGAAACATGAAAGGCTGGTCTTGCCATCATACCGCTACTGAGAGGATCCGCGCTCCCAGGACTGTGCTGCCTGGAGACCAGTTCATTCCCCGTTTTCCTCATCTCTGTATTTTCGTTGTATCGTCTTTTCCAGTAGTTGAGTTCGTCACGATCAGATTCCTGACAGCGCCGCAGAACTGCCATGGAACGCCTTGTTTTTTCTACCATTTCCATAATGCAGTTCAGGGCCTGAACCAGAGAAGAAGTCAGGTAGTGATGAGCTGAAGACATTCAAACACTGATGTTGCAAATCAAGGTAAACAAATTATATAAATAATGAAGGTTTAAGTGTCTTATAGACACAATATCAAGTTTACATGTTAAAGCCTTTATTACTGCTTCTTTTAAAATATAATGTGTATATAAATATGTACACACACACACACACACACACACAACTTAATTTATTTTTTGTTTGGATTTCAAAATAATACTGGATTCTTTAAGGTTGAAGTAACCAGACTCTCATTATAATATAGCCTTTTAAAGTCTATGGTGACCATGGAAACGACAATATGCTGGTGAAGATCTGGGGTGGGTAGGGGCTGAGTGGAGGGAGGTAAATGGAAATAGGAGACATCTGTCATACTGTCAACAATAAAAAAAAAATTAATTAATGAGAATAAAAACAATACTTAAAAACAAAAAGACTACGGTGAAACCTTACATATTTGCGTAAACACACCAAGGTATCTGATGAAGCTGGTGATTTATTAAGAATGTTATCAGAGAAATAATGTTCAGAGACAATTTTTATCACTCAAGATGCAAAGAGCTACTGTATATATACTTTAATGCAGTACTATATCTTCTCTTCCCTTTTCTGTGAGAAGGGAAACCCTCTCTTACAATGAGACAGAGAACTTGGGCTTGCATTCTGATTCTCATTTGTTTTTGGAGAAGCTCCATCTATTAACCCTTTGCGGTCGTATTAAATTTGGACATGGGTGTCGTACTGGTCGGAATTAATTTCCATTGAAAGAGCAGTGATACATAACATGCAAGATTATGAAGGATAAACAAGATTTATTAATTCTTTTTTGGAACTACGTCACTACTAGTAGAATCACTACAAACGTTATCACTTTCTACGTCAGAGTCAGTATTCAAGGTGCCAAAATAAAACTCTTCATCGTTACTTTCAGATTCGCAGTACACGTCTTTCGGTAACTTTCTTTTTGCCATTTTGGAGTATTATTTTGAAATACCTTAACAAGCGAGAATGCCTAATTACAGTTAAACGTAATTTGTAAAGCTTTATTTGAAATTCTGCGAAGTATCTCTGAAGCTTGTCGATTTCTTCACTCTCAAAAGGCGACTGACTCGCCAAGGTGTTTTGCATGGTGAGTGTGTAACGACCACAATTGTTTATATTGAGTTTCGATATCTCCGATTTGTCGGGGCAATGTTTTGGTTCGTGACAAGATCGCTTAGACACTTAAGAGCTTTCAGAGAAATTATGAACTGATACACGAATGAATAGAGTTAAGATTCATACGGTTCCTTGCTGTGGTGGCTGAGAGCAGTCATACGACCGCAAAGGGTTAACACTTCCTATATACCAGGCCCTGTGATAAGCACCTTACGTATTATTACAACCCTCCTGTAAATTTAAATACCACAGTTTTAATTAAAAAAAAGATTTTTAAAAATTATAGTTAATACACAATATTATATTAGTTTCAGGGATACAACATAATGACTCGATATTTATATACCTTACAAAGGGATCACCATGGCCCTGACCGGTTTGGCTCAGTGGATAGAGCATCGGCCTGCGGACTGAAAGGTCTCAGGTTTGATTCCGGTCAAGGGCATGTACCTGGGTTGCGGGCACATCCCCAGTAGGGAGTGTGCAGGAGGCAGCTGATCGATGTTTCTCTCTCATCGATGTTTCTAGCTCTCTATCCCTCTCCCTTCCTCTCTGTAAAAAAGCCAATAAAATATATTTAAAAAAAAATAAAATCAAAGGGATCACCATGATAAGTGCAGTAACCATCTGACATTGTACATGGTTATAATATTATTGACTATATTCCCTATGGTGTACACATGACATTTATTTTATAATTGGAAGTTTGTACCTCTTAATCCCCTTCACATTTTTCACCCATCCCCTACTCCTACCCCTCCTCTCTGGCAACCTCAGTTTGTTCTCTGTATCTATGGTCTGTTCCTATTAGGTATTGTTCGTGCATTTGTTTTGTGTTTGGTTTTTTTAGATTCCACATGAGTGAAATCATATGGTATTATCTTTCTCTGACTGACTTATTTCACTTAGCATAATACCTTCTAGGTCCATCTCTGTTGTTGCAAATGGTAAGATTTCATTATTTTTATGGCCAAGTTAAAAAAAAAGGGGAATGGAATTTTTTTTTTAAGTCATAAAAATTAAGGCTAAAAATGGTGAAACAACAAACATAGGAAGTGTCAAAGCTGGGATCTGAACTCACAAACCTCTATTACCTGACTTTACTTGGTTAAGACTTGAAGTGATCATAAAGATTTGGGAGTTACTCTTAGCTCTTTAGCTGAGGGAGCAGTAGAAAAATCAGCTTTTATTGCAAAGACACTGTGGCTCTGGTTAAGTGTCTTGAAACCTACATACTCTATTACTATTGGTGATATTAAGAATTAGAAGTATGAACAAGTTAGGTCCAGAGGCATGGGGAGGTGGGGGGGAATAGAGGGAACAGGAAGAGATTGACCAAAGAACATATATGCAGCCCAGCTGTGTGGCTCACTGGTTGAACGTTGACCCATGAATCAAGGGGTCACAGTTGTATTCCCTTCCCGGTCAGGGCACATGCCTGGGTTGTGGGCTCGATTCTCAGTAGGAGGTGTGCAGGAGGCAGCTGATCAATGACTCTCTCTCATCATTGATGTTTCTATCTCTCTCCCTCTCCCTTCTTCTCTCTGAAATCAATAAAAACATATTAATAAAGAAGAACATATATGCATAGCCCATGGACATAGACGATAGTGTGGTGAAGGCCTGGGGTGGGGTAGGAGCTGGGTGGAAGGGGGCAAACAGCAGGAAATTGGGGGACATCTGTAATACTGTCAACAATAAATTAAAAAAACAAACACCCCACTTATCTGAAAATTTTAAAAAATTATACATAAGATTCTTACATGATCAAGATGTTTCCATTCATCAGCCCATTCCCTTTCTGTCAAACGGTGATCTACCAACTCATCTTGATAGCCTCCATTTAGACCTATTAGAAATTAGAGATTAAATTTGAGGATAGAGTAAAGAATACAGTAAATAGAATTCTATCAAGTAAACACACACATTCATACAAACTGTGAGCATGCTACGAAGGCAATGATTCACAACAAAGTGCGGGAGCCACAAAATGACATAAAACCACCCCCCCAAAATTACCATTGAGAATATATTTTAAAACTCCTTTAAATATATTATGAAAGACAAAAAAAAAACAAAAGAAAAAGGTTTACGTCACTTACTAAGATTGTGGTGTCTATCACGAACTTCTCGGTGTTCTAACATCTTGTTGGGTTCACGATATAGGTGGGAAGTTGCAATGTCTTCTAAGGTGTAGTGCTGAAGCGGTGGAGGTGTAGGATGGAACTGGCCCCCAGCATTCATAAGGGGCACACTGAGGGCAGGACTGTGCCGAGGAGCAGGGCTGATTGTACACACTCTCTTGGCAGGAGGTTCAGGAGGAATTGTATCTCTTTCAAAACCGTTGTCTTCCCTCCTGCGCAAAAATTAAGTAGATATCTGAGCCCATCAACAAGTGTTCATGCAAACATATCCTTGAGCATCTACAATGCTCACATTTTCACAAACAGGAAGACATAAGGACAGGTTTGACATAAGACATGAACTGAATTGTCTTTAGAGGCCAGAGAGATAATGGAAACTGATTTAGTCCAGTATAAAAAGAGAGGTCAAATTCATCCACAATAAGGCAGAAATATCTAAACCTCATGAAGCAAAGTGAGAGACTAAGGAGACAATGGCATTTTCTTATATGACTAGAGGCCCGGTGCACAAAAATTTGTGCACTCAGGGGGAGAGGAGGTCCCTCAGCCCGGCCTGAGCCCTCTTACAGTCTGGGACCCCTCGGGAGATAACGACCCGCTGGCTTAGGCCTGCTCCCGGGTGGCAGAGGGCAGGCCCAATCCCTAGGTGCAGCCCCTGGTCGGGCTCAGAGCAGGGCTGA